ATACTTTTCAGATTAGTTTAATGCAGCTTTTAAAAACTATTATCCATGTCTGGTGTAACGACATCATCAGTTAGATTGTTTTAATATTCCTCTCAATTTTTTGGCCCAAAGTGACAAACCGGAGCCTACAAAACACAAGTATGTTTACCTATTGAAAGCTGCTCTCAGTAACTGAGGATCGTTTAGGTAATACAGATATGGTATCAGGGAAAGACAGATCACTTTAAAAAATGAATTGAAAAGATAATCTGAAAAATTCCCAACAGGACATCATGTAGCTGAATTGGGTGGCTGCTGTAAGGAACAAAATTCAAGGGAATCCATTCTTGTATGACTTTTAAACTGCTCTCCTGCTACCATCTTTATAATTTAGATTTCTAATTAGTCTCAGGTAAAGGTTCCACCTCACAGATGAGGGCTAGTTGCATTTTAAACAGCACAAACATAACCCCAGGGTCAGAGACAAAAATCAAGTATCCCATTTTACATATATAATTATGCATGTTTATTTTCAGTGACAAAACCATGAAATGCAAGGAAACATATTCATCAATAATGCTTCAACAATATAGAATTAATAGCTGCTTATGAATTGTAAGCTGACATATCCACTTTGTTCACATTGTTTCCCAACAGACATTCACAAAGTTTGTTACACATTGCAAAGTAAAGGGATAGGAGTTATAAATGTACTTTATTAACATTTTACCAGATGAATTTCCAATAGTCAGCAAAATAGCTTAAATTAAACTGCACTTCAACCAAACAAATCAAGGCATGTCAGAAACAATGGGAAATGGATAGGACACTGGTGGATTTTTTTTTTTAAACTAATATTAGCTGAAAAGGTGAAATGCACAGATGAAATTTAGACTGAAAAAAGATTTACTCTGTAAGAGGCTAAGGTGCACCTGGAGTGGGGAACAGGGAAGAAAAGATTATTCACCTGACCTGGGGTTTTAATAAATATAATGTAATCGCTCTTGCACAGTTTGACTTTATGCCAGCCATTTTTAACACATCCAACCCCATTCAAATTTGTTCACTGTTATTTTGTGTCACAACGTAATAAAAGCTGCTTTCATAGATTCCCTCAGTATACCATAGCTATATTTATATATTATATATAATATATAGAAATCCTGTATCTATAACTGGGATTCGTAATAAAATACTTAAAAACCATTTTAAAGATTTGTTATATAATTAAAAATGCCTTTGCCTCTGTAACAATATTTACCCCAATACATTAAAAGTGCTTGTTGTCTTCAGAAATGCAATTCTAGGACCTGAGGCACTGGAATGGCCATTGGTAAAATGACTGGGACTGAATAACAACCCTTAAATTTCTGTGTACGCAGGAAAAAGTTGAAGTTGAGACTAACACATAGTAGGATGCCCCCTCCCACATCCCTGTGGCCATTCCTTTTGGAGCAAGAAGCAGAGGAAGGCTGAAAAAAGAAGCAGCCATACAGCAAAATCATACGTCCAAGCTGCTTACTGAAAACTTTGACTATACTGACCTAAACAGTATGCAACTATTGAGAAGCTGTACAGTTCAGGATAACCAAAAAGAGATATAGCAGACTAAAAACACAACAAAGCCAAGACCACATTCAATTTCAAAGCATCCTTCCAATGCCTTCAGGTACTTGACATTGTGCACAACGGAGCTCTTCAGGGAGCACAGAGAAGGTGCATATAGTGAAGAACATTTACCTTCTAGATCTCCCACACTGTAGACCACGCTACCTTACAGTGGGGATGGATTACTTAAATAGCAATGAAAGAATAAAAAAATTTAACATACTGTAAGATACTGCGCTGACTTCATAAAAAAATCTAATTAGGGTACTCCTTGAAGTAACAGCAGAGATTTCCAAACTTATAAGGAAAAAGCACAGAAAACACAAGTTCTAGATTCACAGCACCAGTACCAAAGCTTCATTATGAAAATGAGATACAAACTAAATATATGGATTTATATATAAGGTTCCAGTCATTCCCCACTGTTTTCAGAGTCATGTCCATCAAGGGGAATGGAATTTAATCAATGACATGGCAGCCATTATTTAAAAAATTAGTTTCGTTGACTTGGTTAAGGCTAAGTGCTGTTTTTTTGCAACTGAAATGAAATACTCTTATTTTAGGAAAAGATCTAATTAGAAAATTCAAGAGTGATAGATGATAAATTTCTTTCAAAGCATATTTGTTACACGTGAATTTTAAATGATGATTAACTATTTTGTATTAAGTTCACAGACAAACAAACTGTAATTAACCTGTTGGTTCACCAACATGCTTCACCTATAATGAAAATATAATGGGAAGGGGGGTGGGGGGGGAAGAAACTCAGTTATCCTGCTGTTTGAGGTTCTCTGCTGATACTGTCACTGAGGATTCCAATTCACGTCCATTTTGATAGAATTCATGATGTTCACACAGCATAACCTGTACTGCAATGAACAGGATTGACTTGAAATTTTATCTCACAGTTAAAAAAAAAAAAAAAAAAAAAGAGAACCTCCTGCTCCCCATATTACTGTACACACAGCCAAAGCTGACTTTACAAAAGCAGCAAAACACCCATTCTGTTTGCCTACTTCATCTTTTCTAGAAAGGAAATACATGTAGGAAATTTATTTAACACTTTGGGTGAGAGGGGTAACAGGAGAAAGCTTTTTCAGTTCTGGAAGGTTAAAAATATGTTCTATTAATTAGAATGAATTAAAATATTAGTGGAAAGCTTAGTGAACACTGACTCCAGGCTCTTGTGAAGCAATAATACTTCCAGCACAAACCAGGAATGCTTTTTCTCATTTTCAAAAAAAATTTCTCCCATACAAAAATAAAAAGCTAGTAATACTGCAGTCAGTAGCTTTGAAGTATCGGGTTCAAACTGAAGGTAGTAAGAGGACATTGTATAGTTGCTGCCAATAGAATCTTGAATTTAACAAATGAGAAGCCAAAAATATCCAATTATGAGCCAACAGAATGGAAGTCAAGTTAGAAGCCAAATGATAATTAAAAAGAATGCCCAGATTGGCCAAGAGAGTCCCTTTTTCAATTTAAATAACCAACTAGATTTGTGTTAAGGAATGAAACAATCAGCAATATGACAGTGAGTTAACCAGATGCAGTTAGGATCAGAGCAGGGCATGTGGTCAGTATGACCACAGTATGCAGCAAGAGGGAACAAAAAAGAATCATCTCCCTGCAACATACTTTTCTTGTTTCTGCAGGATAATGTTCAACACCAGTATGCTGGAACAAGCAAATACTTGAGACAAAGACAAGAATATTTTTTTGGGGGGAAAAAATAATACATACCCATCTTGGTGAAAGTTTAGAGCAAATCTTTTCGAACAAGAAATTAAATTTGCCAGTCTGGCTGAATTATGAATTGTATTAATCCCTAAAATTTGGAAATCTAGGTTACTCTAAAATATCCTAGAATAAGTTACTGCACAGTTCTCCTATATTTTGAGAACTGTTTGCCTTTTGTTTTTTCAATTTTTCTTCTTTTTAGCTGTTAGAAAGGATTACTTTCTTTACAATTTCCATTTGATTTACTCTAGGCTTGACAAAATGATAATCCTAAATCCATGATTTCCCTCCTCTAGTCATTGAGGTTGTAAGTTAATGCTGCAACTAAAGAAGTGCAGGATTGTGCAGAAGTAATTTTTATATTAACAATTATATCTGATCAACTAGCTCAATCATTTTTATAACAACAGCAAATAAAAGTGACTGTAAACACAATACGTAACATGAATATAGCACTTTCAAAACCTTTTGATCTTTAGCATGATCCATCAGAAAATGGAACAGTCTGTGCTGATCTTACACTTTGGAAAATTGATGCAGTAAGTATGAATAACCTACCCAAGGCCACAAAGGTAAACATTATCAGCCAAGATAAAAACTCCAAAGTTCAGGCATCAAGTCTTCTGTTCAGACTATAACAAAAGTGGTAAATCGCATTCAATATTTGAAAGCCTTTTCCAGCAAGGAAGTTCTCCACAGAATTAAGAGTTTATCATGGTCAATTTGTTACTTCAGTTAGGATTTTCCTCTATTTTGTCCACTGCTGACCAACATAAACACTTCCAGTGAAGTCCTTAGTGTGATAAACCCGTGTGCGTGTGGACGCATGTGTGTACACACAAATACACATGCATTTCAAAAGGACGAAGCCATTCTAATTTCATTCATCTAATATAATGGAAAACAGTTTTAAATGCTACACTGTTTCTTCTTCCAAAGTGGACCTACCATAATTTGTGGTCTGATGACCAGTTTTCCACTTTTATTTACAGGAAGATCTCTCAATTTATCAGAATCTCTGACGAAAATCATGGCATAGAATAGCAGAGACAAACCATGAGTTAGATTCTCAAGTGTGATTCATTAGAAGTGAACTATGACTAGCCCTCCTAATTTGTAATTTTTCTTCATTAAGGAGACTTTTAAACTACAATTTCATTTCTCTGACAAAATTCACATCCACTATCCTGAGAATTTCTAACCTGTAAAAATCTCCTATGGAAATTGTAATGATAGGATCAGTTTACTATAGTGAACTGATCTAAAGAAGTTAAAACCAAAAATAACATTTGGACAGGGTTTGGTGGGGAAGAACAGACGTGCTTCTTGTGAATTATACTATACTGACAAAGACTATACTGACTATACTGCAAAGACAATGTGAAATGTAATGAAAGGGGTAGGTGAGAGGAAATAAAAAAAAACCCTCTCACAAGATAAGCACATACAGAAACAACACTTCAACTGTAATTACTTGCCATTTAAGCAACAAACCTGTTCTCGACTCTTGAGAATGTTTTCCCCATTTCATGCACAACTGAAGAGATCCCAATTTTACTATCATTTGTATCAAATATTGCCTTTTGAGAACAGAATGACTGAAATCTTAGCCAGAATTATTAAATAGGAAAAGGAAAGACCTGCAATACAAATCTGCAGCTCACAGAGAAAATCAATTTAGAAGAATGTTTAAAAAAAAAAAAAAAAAAAAGGCACAATCCTGTGGTAGGTCCGATAACAATTTGAACAGAGAGGGTGACAGTGGTCAAGCAATTCCAGGTGTTTTCATGCATATGTATTATAGTGTATCTGTGTATATTTCATTCAGCTTCTACTTTCTCCGTGCTCTTCAGTAATCAAGTATTTGATTTGTAAGATGCTACATTAGTGCCAGCAGGCACGAAATGGTATAATAAATACACTCTTTACAAAATATAAAAGCCATGCACTTAGTGAAGAAAGCATAGCTCTTCAGCTAAGTGGAAATCAGTACCTCCCTTTCATTTTTTTAAAATAGCTCTGCTCAGCCACTTAAAAAGTCCCAGCTGCCACAGAAAGTCATACAAACTCCAAGCCCTGCTCTGTTTAAGTTTCTGTTCCATAGCTCACTTCAGGAGTGCGAACAGGATACTTCTCGCTGAACTAGACTGTAAGAAATTTTCTCAGTAGACCAAGTGAAAAAACAAATCTGATATTTTTTTTCATTTTAGCAATTCATTTGAAATCAGTTCCATTACAGAAGCATCAAGTCATTGGTTCTTGTTTTATCACACGCTTTATAAAGACAGGTTCGTTACAACAGCCTTGAAGGGGACCGGCAGTTAGGTTCCCACTGGCCATGTTCTTGGGGAGAAACACCTTGGAAGAACTGTGGTTCAACAGGACAGGGCTTTTGGAATTCAGAGCTGGGTGTCCCTCAGGGACTAAAGTCACAGAATTAGTGCCAGGTGGCACCACAGATTTCTTAGGGAATAAAATTTTGCTTTGTTCTAGAACAACACGGTTTATAGAAGAGGTGGAGGCACCAGATAGTGATTCTTTTATCACTTCATTTGGGATCTTGCTATATAGGTAACTGGGGGCATTATTCTCCATTATATCTGACCAAGCCCTGTAGCGAACTTCTGCAGCTCCCCAGTAGTGTCTAATAGCAGACTCAGAGCGATGGCCTGTCACTGCCATTATTTCTCTAGGCCCCAGTCCTGCTTCACACAGTAGCTGGATGGTGGTAGTTCGGAGAGAATGATTGGTATATCGTTGAGAGAGCCTGGCTGCCACACTTATCCTGGGCATCATGGTACCTAAGTAGTTCACACCCATTGGTTCTCTTTTGTACCAGACAGGCTGTTCTTGCATTTGCTCTGACGTTAGCTTTAAAGGATGCAGGTAAAAGGCAGGGGGCTCCGGAGGCAACTTAGACAAATAAAGCTCCAAGGAAAAAACAGGACAGTTTGGGTCCCCTGGCATATCATACATTTTACCCATTTTATGAGGATCTTCTCCATTTTTTCCTTTGCCAGGATACCTAAACATAGCGTATCGACGCCCATTCTTGTCCTTCTCAACAACAAAAGCATCTGGAGCCAGATCTCTTAAAATTTCCCTCCCTCGTTTGGCAAAATGCAACTGCAAATCAAACCACACCTTGTTGACGAGTGCCAGTGGACTGTGCAATCCCAGCACACCAGATTGTTTAATCTTACGCAAGTCCTCAGCGGCTATAGGAGGATGGTGGTGAGTCTCATCCTTTCCCTGCATGCGCAGCATCTTCAGCACGCTCACAAATACCATGTTTGCACCAGCAAACTCTTTGTCCTTCATTAAGCAAATCTGACGATTATAAGGTGGCATTTTGAGATGCCGGTTTAAGCCAGCACGCATTGACTTGTAGCTTGCCACACTGTAGGTATTTCCATCATGATTCCTTATTGTGTAATAAAACTCTCTTAAGATATCATTGAGTTCACTTACTGGGACCAATTCAAAGCTAGGATCCTTGCCATTTTTGGCCAGCCATTGTTTTAATAGGTTAGCTGCCCAGCCAGTCTGCTTGTGGGTGTTTTTGATGCTCTTAGCATCCTCTTCCTCTTCCTCCAAGCCAAAGAGGACATCCTCGGGGAAGTTAAAATTCGTCTGTGCTGCTTCTACCGCTTCTTTATTTTCTGATGAAGTCTCTTCCTGTTTCAACTGCTTTTCGAAACAATTGATCAAAGTTGTACCATCAAATATGCCACAGGTATACGGCACACAGCGAACTACTTTTTGTTCTGAGAGCTGTGAAGTGCGGAGTAATACATAATATTTTGGATTTTACATAACAAAAAGCAGGTGGCATTAACTAGATTTTTCAAATGATATGGCATGTCAATTCCATACCTCACTAGCCAATTAAAATCCATCAGGTCCTTCTTTATTAACCATGGCATTACACATGCTTTAACTGATTTGACTGAAAGCAAACCTAGAAACATACACTATAACAGAAGACTGAAAACCGGAAAGCATCATGTGTATTTTATTTCCCTTCTTGCTCACCTTCCATTGCTAAATACCACTATCACACACAATCTGTTTTTCCAAAATCTTTTCCGGGTTTCAGGCTCTACCGAAGAAGAAAAATTCCAAAATACGCATCTTACATTGAAAATTAAATCTTAAAACCGTACATCTGTCATCCATTCTGGTACTGAATTTTCTACGTATTAAGTACTGACAAATATTTTAATAGCTATAATCCACAGGTATCTTTGAAAAATGAAGTTCCAAACAACCATTCTTTATGAAATGCCTTAATAAAAAGGTAGAGTGAGGCACAATTTATACTCTGTAATATTGGTTATCTTTGCCAGACTATTTCTGTGACAGGTGACAACCAGAATCTTGTCCAGTATATTTTCTTCTTGCTTTGAAATACAATTCAGATTTAACTGTACCTTGAAACACTATTAAATATGGAAATTTTGGCTAGAAGAAATTATTTATTCCCCTTAATAAAATGACTTCCAGTTAACAGCAATGTAAGTATGAGGTGCTTTGTGAAATATCTGTATGCAGAAATAAAATTAATTACGAATAATTTTAAATAGCTTAATATCAACCTTTAAATTTCAAAGCAAGTTCAACAAATCTTAGATGAGGAATCCAGAAGTACTGCAAGTTCTCCTTTATCATGAAGTAGTTATTCCTGAAGAAAGTTTCTTTTTTTTTTCCTATGACGTATGGCAATGAAATATTAGAACCCCAATTCTTATTAACTTCTGGATTAGTGTGGAAATGAGGGAGCTGCAATAATTTACAAAATATTTGTAGCTTTAAGTTCAAGCTCTTCAGACAAAAACTGGGCAGGGTTTTCTTTTGCACATTAGCTCTGTTGACATGTTTTTAGTGTGCTCCTGAATTACTAACTCATCTACTTAGACAAACCCCATCAGAAAACTTCTGAAAAGCTTATCAGAAGCTCATGCTCCAAGTAATATTCTGGATCAGAAGAAGAAAAATACAAATGGACAGAAACTAGAAAGGATGGCACAAAAAGGAAACTAAAATTGTTTCATTATGAGCAAAAAAGGTAAAGAACTTTTCTCCTGTGGATTGTAACTTTATAATTTTATATAGAAACATAATCAACAACCTACCTGTGTTGTTCCCTCAGCAGTTCGCTTGTTTGCCGAAGTATCTGTTGGTGGCCTGCTTGTCTGGTTTTCTGAGGGGTCAAGAAATTGTTCATTTGCAGTATCTAATCAGTACTAAATACTGCTATCCACTATACAAATTTGGAGGCAATACTCAAAATTGTTTGATACTAAACATTCAGTATGCGGCACATTTAATATTTTTCAGCCCTAATTTTCAATTATAAGTATTCAAGCTTGATTACTACCATTTTTCAGAGGGAACAGAGGATACAGAAAAGCAAAATGGCACTTTCCAGCCTAGAAGCAGTACATGTTTCCTTCCCTGAAAGTCTGACAGTGTACTCAAAATATTTTACGAACAATTCCCTTGCCTATCTGAGGACAAAGCATAACTCCAACCTCTCCTCCCTCTGCATGTAAACTGACAAGGTATTAAACAATTATTCAGCATTTTTGTACAAAAAAAATTGACTGAACAATGGATGGTTAAACAGACTGCAAGATACATAACTGAGACTATTTGTGCAGGCAGACCGAGCATCTTTATTAGCTCAGCCAAACAAACTATACTAGCAACTTAAGCAGAAGTTGCTTGAATATTTGGTGTAAATGTTTAAATCCAAATTCTCCTTCTTCTTCCTTTCCATTTTAACCAGAGCTTATCAGCAACAGTGCTGGCCCAAAGCAGGGTTTCAATTCTAGTGAGAGAACTACTAGAAAACTTCACCAAGGCTATGTGAACTGCAGAAAACGAGACACATTTTTGGACACACAGGCCTTTCCTTTGGTCACTGTGCCTGATCTATCACAGCCCTTTCTATGTTGTATTAAATCATTATATTAGCTTTAGAGCTAAAAATCAATACAAAGCATGTAACTGTCCAACTCTGTGGAAGACTTATTTTAACATAGGTAACTTAAGGATGGGAAAATGAAATAGAACTAGTTCGGATGTCAAGCTCTGCTTGCGTTCATTTTAACATTATATTGTGCCAATGAGAAACTTGCTATAATTCCAGCTCACTTAGAAATCTTGAGGACCTCTCTAAAAAAATTTTCAAGGTATATAAAATGAGAAGTGCAGAGAATCATCATGGCATGGCCAAAGATGGAGAGAAAGTAGTTTAAAATAGTTAATCTAGATACCGTATTTGAACATTCATTTTATTTAGAGACTTTATTTTAAATACAATAAATGTACTTCTTTGGAACTAGGTTAGTATTCAGTTGCATTTTTTCCCCCCATTTTGTTTACTTTTAAATGTTGTGAAAATTAAGTTAATGATTATACTTTCCTTTCAGTATGTCTTTGCTTAGAAAGGCAGCCAGATTATTTTGAGAGGCTGTATTAAAAATAAATACCAAGTTGGTAATGGTAGAATAGGAGTTTCTGATTTCATGCTAGGAATGATATAAATCAAGTTCTAAATAAAACAAAGACTACAGAGCCACACTGCTGACTCCTTCTAAGGAGAGATGATTTTCAACAATGGCTGAAACACATCTATTACAGAGATGATTTTCATCTTGATAATTTCAACAGAAAGGCAACCCAGAAAAAACATCTGAGTAAAATACACTAACAAACAAATTTCCACTGGACTGGAGTTTTGTGTTTCCCTTTGACAACTGTTTTCCTTTCCCAGTGTCAACATTCAAGCGTAACTTACCAACTCTGGGCGCTGTAACGGTGGGTGGTTCAATAGGAGCTGTACTACTAAATGCAGAGAGGGGAATCTTCATCTGTAGGGGGGCTCGACTGCTGGTAGCATTATAAAGTCCCGAAGTACCCACTGTGGGCAAAGAAGTCCTTGTAGCCTGGGCAACAGGATGTGCAGTAGAAACAGCTTGTACTGCCAACGTTGTGCCTACTGACCCAGCACTGGCTGGAGAGTTCCTTTGAATACCAGGACTGGGCACAGGTGGGCTGTTGTTTGGTTTATTTGGGTTAGTTGATGCCAAAGACACTGTAGTTTTGGTAAGGCTACCAACTGTAGATGAGCTTTGTACAGATATAAACTCAACGTTGCCTGACTGTTGGTTAGTGACCAAAGTCCCTGTGTGGCCTTGCAGGAGCTGAGGCTGGGATGACACTGCAACAGGTACATGCAAGATTACGGGCAAAGACTGCAATGAGACAGACACTGACTGAGTGCTGCCACTGGGCACTTGGTTAGTGCCTACAACCGTAGCTGTGTTAGCTGTGGGAAGAACTGTTGTTGTCAAAGAGCTGGTGGAGGTCACTGGGGTCTGAGGCTTAGGATTTCCACTGACAACTGTCGAAGCAGCAGCAAGACTGGAAGCTGGCACTACAACAATAACAACAAATTTAAAAATTTAAGTATTTGAACCAAGTGGGAAGTTTCACTCCAACACAACAAATGGAAACGATTTATGATGAGGGTGGTGAGACACTGGAACAGGTTGTCCGGGGAAGTTATGAATGCCCTATCATTTTAAGTGTTCAAGGTCAGGCTGGATGGGGCTTTGAGCAACCTGATCTAGTGAAAGATGTCCTGGCCCACAGCAGGGGAGGTTGGACTAGATGATCTTTAAAGGTCCCTTCTAACCCAAACCATTCTAAGATTCTATGAAAAATGATTAACTTTTTGCAAAGAAAGGCTATAGGTACTCTTTTTCTGTTGTACACTCTTATATTCAATGGCCTAGTTAAAGATACAGTCAATACTGTATTTCTGTTTGAAAGAACTACATAAAAATGGCAAAAAATTAAGATATACAAAGAACTATGACACAAAAAGGCTTTAAGAAAGCTCCAAGATTTAACTGTTGAAAACACATGAAATGTAGCATTTTAAACACTCGTTGCAGAAATGGTAGAACTGGTCCTTCAGAAAACACAAGAAAAGAAAAACTAAGTCAGTTATGACTAACTTGCTTTGTACAGGTAGTACCTTGTATCCGGAAGGTTCTACTGAAACCAAGGATTAATGTGTCAGAGAAGTTACTCACTTTTATGCAACAAAATTTTAGGATTAAAGCTAAAGATCAGGAGCATAATACACTACAGAAAGCCAGTATATGCCTACTATGAGATGATTCTGTGGAAAAGATTCAGCATTCAGTATTAGGTAAACTATTTTTAAAACCAAGGATGATGTGACTACAATGAATGTAGTTAATGGGGGTTTTGATTCTACATTCCCTATAAAATTCTAATCTAGGAATTCCATTTTTCAACTTGACTCCCTTAAGAAATGGGGCTTATGACTTCCTTCAGTTCCCCGCTCAACTTCTGTAGCCATTAGTTAGAGGGGAAGATATCAGCATGATATGGCCTGTGAGCCATGTGTTTCACTTCTTGGCAGCTGAGACACTGCAAGTTTTGCTGCCATATCCTGCAGGCAGTCCACTGAAGCATCTAATTTACCCAGACGTTCTCGTTGGCCAAATCAACACATTTTTTCCCTTACCTGGTAAGCACACTACACAAATATAAACTGGGAATGTGGTAGGGAGCTAAAAATAATGATTTTTGATGTCAGGAAAAAAAAGTCATAAACCCCAATCTTGCTCTGTTCAGTTAGCTACTTATTTAATGGAAAGCAATAAAACTTTTAAGTGTGTTTATAGCCCATAGGCAGTTTCTTACCTGCATTGACAGGGGCTTGAAAAGTTGCTGGTGTGCTCTCTCCTACATTCCTCTTTGACTCCAGCATCTGCCTCACTGTGCCAGCATTTCTATGGAACAAACTTTCAGTTAGCATTTCTCAATAAGCCACACCAGGTAAAATTATGAACAGTACAATTATGAAAAACCCCCTTATTTTACAGCTATTCTTTTCATTGAGATTTTCTAAACCCATTTATCTTCTGCCCCCCATGCAAATTAACTTTGGATATTCCCCTACTAAAAAAAAAAAAGCAGAATTATTTGTAAATTTTCAAGTGCTTGCACCAAGTTTGCCTTTCACCGTGAGAATTTTCCCTTCCTTGAAATTAAACTTCCATTTTTATCCATTATTTTTTAACCGCTGAAATGACACTCATCTCAGTTTACCTAAGAATGGATTCAATACTGTCCATTTATGATTTCTGTGAAAGAAAATCGAATTTTACAATTGAAGAGCAATGAAGGAAAAGGAAGAGCACTTTAATTAAAAAAAGAAAATACAGTGATTATCCATTACATTAGGTATCTCAAGTGTCCTATTGTAAATTTTAACATGGTCACAGTGATAAGGTTTGCTTACCGGTATGTCGCATTGTTTGTGTTTGCAGTGTCACTTGCTGCTTTCCCTGGTGACAGAGGTGCATTTGGTGAATTCTACAAAAAAAAAAAAAAAAAAAAAAGAGAAAAGCCATAACAAAACAACCATAAGTCGGCTTGCAAACTTATGCTTTCATTATATTTCATATTCATTCATTTCTGTGTGAGATATACATTTTCTGGAGCCAACACTGCAGGAGAACTTTACATGTTTTACAACGCTGCAAAACCTCCTTGGTCCTACCTGCCTCCTCTCCTACATCCTCCCTTTTTATAAGTCTCTTGCCTTCAGGTTTTTATAGCATAATAAAAAAAAAAATTTCTTGAACGTTAATGGACTTTTAGGTTCCATTTCTTCACAGTAACTAAACCAAAATATACATTCTAGACACAGAGAAATACTGTTGTTTGTATCCATTCCTCTCCTCTCTCCGTTCCACCCCCAAAATCAAGGTACCGGGATTCATTTTTATTTACTCTGTACTCTTCATCTCGAAGTAAATTAGATTTACTTACATGCAATTTAAGGTGCTTTCATATTAAAAATGCCTAAAGGACCTTCTATACAAATCAGAATTACATAACAGATGTTAAAAGACTCTTTCATATCACTGCCTTTAATCAAACAAGACAAACCTACTTTGTGAACACCACTGAACCAGGTCACATCTTTCTGCATATAAAGTTTCTTTATTTTTCAACACAAGGTTTAGGCTAACTCAGAAAAACTAATATAACAAATCTAGTTCTTACTTCCTGTCTTTTCTTCAAGTCCTCCCTGGCTGCTCCAAACCGCTTTGTCAATCTAGCAATTTTAGCCTAAATGGGAAGAAGAAGAAAACAAACAAAACGATAAATATCCTCCCCAAGAACCATCAAGGAAATTATGCAAACTAAAAGACAGATAATTAAGACATCAAGTCAAAGGCTATTTTCGTATTAGGGGAAATTATTCCTCCTTGAAATACAGTACAACTATATTACTTCAGAGCAGCAGAAAGACACACACGTGTATCACAATCAAGATCTCTTAGAGACAACTTGAATTAGTTTCCTTCCTATTCACAATTGCACAACAGAATCCATCTTGCAGAGGTTCACACAATATTCTGCATGAATGAAAGCAACTGAAAGCATTTGACTGTTTTAATGCCTTATGTACCAACCATACTGAAAAATGCACCCCTTTTTGCCTTTCATATTATCTACTCTTCCCCCATTTATCCTATTTCTCCCTCTTACTGATACACTTCAGTATACTGAAAACGTCTTAGATAGCACTTAACAAAAAGTCAACATAAAATGCGTGGGGCAGTGAGGGGGAAGAGTTATGTAGTACAAACTGGTCTGGCAAACTCCATACTTTTTATGTTAAAAGTAAAATGGCCTTATTGTTTGAATTTGTTATGACATAAGCTTTTAATTGTCTTGTCACTTCAAAATTCTTTGATTTTTGTCATGTTCCTCATCTCATCACTATGCACATCATTTCTGTAAAGAATGCAAGAAAGCATACTGCATTCAACACTAGCTATTTGTTTCCTTGCTAGAACATAATTATTTAGTTTCTGGGGAATAACATGGATAAGTACCATGTGATGTTTCTTTGTTTGAACACTCTACAAAGTCCAGTGCTATTGTCCTCTCCTTTTTGCACTTTTCCGTTTTTAAGCAAATTTCTGGCTTCACAGAGGCATTAGATATCTTCACACTTAACATTTATTTGAAGAATGTCTACATGGAACAGAAGAGTGAAAAAGCAGTTTACTAACAGCTAATGAATCAGTTTGCCAGAAGGAAGATTTGCTTTGCGGTTTTTTGATGATTAATTGGTTGCTTTCTTCTTTCTGAGTAGGAAAAAAGAATTCTACAACTCAAAAGCAACATTAGTATTTGCTGCTTCCCCCCGCTTCCCTTTGTGAAGCCAAAATGGCTTCCCTACGGACAACTACAGGAGACTTACTACCAAATGTTGAGGAACTTACTTTTAAATTTGACTCTAGTATGCAGTTCAACACACACTCACCTGTAGCTCAGTAAGCACAGTTTTATGCCTCTTGTTACATTCTACTTTCTCTATTCGGGTTTTCAAGTCCGCCAGAGTCTTGTCAAATACAGCACACTGTAAAGCAGTAAGTTTTTCTTCTAACAGTGTCTGGATAACCTGCAAAATTATTATAAAAAAGAAAAATAACAATGCAATCCCAGAATTTGGGAGACCATCTATAAAAATATTCTCAACTCTTAACAAATATCCTGCTACAAACAGAACAGTGACAACGGTTGTGCCCTGTCAATCAAATAAATCTATAGTCACCAATAAGCACGTGGTAGCACAGCTAAGAAAAGTTTTTACATCTATTTTGGCAAATACAAATGGTCCCTCTTTGCCATTAATTCAAGAAATTAATTCCATTGTGGTATATTAAGCGTATAAAACCTTATTACATATAAAAAGAACCTTAACAACAGAAGATATTTTCATAAAGTGCTGTGTTCACACAAATTAATTTTTCCTCTTACTTTTCTGTTCTTGAGAGGAACACTGGCATTGAAAGAACAGAAACTTTATTCAACAAAACTTTATTTCCGAGATACATTTTCCCCTAGCAGAAATGCCCTATGTTGCTTTTCTTGCAGAAGCTAAAAATGGAAAAAGAAGAGACTGATTTCCGCAAAGTTTACTTGTTACACTTATCATTTAAATTTTTTCTCCCTCCTACACCTATTGCAGACAAAAATTTTCCTGGGGGGGGGAGCAACAAACATGGCTCAGTTTTCTGCATCCTACATTAACAAGTTACAACATGCTATAGCTAACTAACTAATGGAAGAAGGGCACAATTTTTTTTTCTTCAAGATCACAGGTTTCTTTACATACCAATGGTGCAATTAGGCAATTAACAGCTCTATAAAAATCTGCAAAACACTATGTTGACCACACTTGTTTGGAGACAGACTTTCTTTAAAGCTAGGTACACAATAAAGCGCACCACATATAAACCTTTACCACACTGAAATACCTCCTTTGCTAAGATTCTCCATCTATAGTCTCATGAGACTTAAGAGTTTAAATGTTTTACACATTTCAAACATAACTCTTGCAGCGTAGTTTTCAAATGATATTTGGTCTCCTCTTAAAAGTAGGGCTATATAGGACTCTATATGAATTAAGCCACCTTTGTTATTTGAATTACGTTCAATTGTCAACCACAAAAAAGATAAAGTGTTGGGGGGGAGGCAGGGAGCATGTGGGAAAGAATAACTAATTCAAAGATAAGACGAGCGACAGGTGTGCGCTTGCCATCTTCACTCTGCACCTCCATTCTACCTTTTGCAATTTTTGGTCAACATCCCTTCTGGCTGTAATTTTTACTTGGAGTTCTGCTTCATAATCTTCTCCCATGTATCGACGACGTTTAGAATGAACACTGTCCATGTCCTCAGATTTGGAACGCTTTCTCCTTGACACTTCACCTGGAACAATTAGATACAGCTGCTTGAGAAACCTTTGACAAAACAGGTATCTGCAGAATGCTGTGATTATTATGAAGTTTCATTTGTCCACAGTTTAATCTTTTTCATCCTAAACCAGTAAGAACGCCTTTGGAAAAATAAGATGTTTGATGACATCAAAGCAGAACAGTCCCTTTGGTCTCTGTACATTGCTGCCCTGTTAGTGAGTTCTGCTTTGTGATTCACCAAACTACCGCCCCAAATGCAAAATGGCTCTAGTACCCCCATTCCCTTCTCCAGAACTTGCCTCCAGTTCTTCCTGCTTCTATCAGCACCATCCTAGAATGAAACATAGCTTCTGAGAAGCAAAAAACAACCCTCTTCTGAAAAAGGAATCCTCTTCTCAGGATTCCAGCCAAATAGAACTAAATTTCATTTTGCCTGTGTCAGCAATGAACTTTTTTTTCTACCTGCCATGAAGGTTTAACCTGTACCTCCAATCCCTGACCGAAAAGACATTCAAACCTTTTTCTTACTTCTTGGGTAAGAAGGAAAGTAAAAATCTAACAAAAGAACAGGCTCAAAACAGAACTATATTATAAAAGTAATTTTCATCACAGCGATGAAGCACAAAAGAACCAAAGAGACCTCATTCACTCCTCCAGCTCCTGGCACTGTATCCTCTAGAGATCCACATATAAAACAACAAGCCTAGGTCAATTATCAGGAAGGGAAACCACAGGGTATACTGTGGGTACCTGATCACTGTCAAAAAAACCAAAGACCATAGCACCCTCCACCCCAAACCTGAGGATGATATAGGAAGACAGAATTAGTAGTACATTAATGAAGATTCACTGGAGACTGAAACAGCATAACAAGTAGTTACTTTCCTCTGCCCTTTTTTCTTTACTTGTATTACATACACTTTGTGAGTCGTATTTCTAACTTCAACAAATTTCTCATAGTCTGATTTTTTGATGGTTAGATTTCTGTTGGTTTCAGTCTGATCTGATTTTCTGATGGTTTCTGATTTTTTTTTTTGAGTTGCACTAAAAATGCACTAATGTACTAAAAATTATTAAAAGGTACTATTTTAAAATCTGCATGACAACCTAGGTAATTTTTAAAGTTTGTGAAAGCATAGGTCCTCAAATTTTAGGTAAGTTTTATAGGGCCACAGGGCTCTTCATAAACATTTGCAGAATGCTGAATATTTGCAAGCAATATAAATGTCCAAGGTATGAGTTTTTCATTTTTTTTTTCCAGAATGACAGCAAACAGTGGAAAATGAAGGAAAAAAAAAAACCCACCACCAAAAAGAGCAGCTACATCTCCAGCTTTCTTCCATCCATCAGAAAAACTCATAGTAAAAATCCTGAATGGTTAGAACACTATTCCCACACTAGTTAAGACAAGTTTATTAGGATCTTCCATACAACTCTTTCCTACTCCTGCTCTTTAGAAAAAGCCTAACCACTGAATAGTACAACAAGTAGTTTGATACATGCAAGAGCTAGTTACATATTAAAAGAACATGTTTAATGTTCAGGTAATTTGTTCTGGAGCAGATGCTACATCTAATTTTACTGCAGTTAGATTCTCTTTGAAGAGCTTCAGGGTGCTTGCTACTAGTGGAAGGGATATCTAAAGGAGGCTGTGACTTCTAGGAAACTCTAGCAGCTTATAATGAGCTGTGTCAGCTGTTCTTGATCAAAGGGTACTTTGTGCTTATGTTCCAGCTGATTCCTTATGGAGGTTCAAACACCCTTTCAGCAGGTACTAGGGAGAGGCCTATATTACTGCTGAGCCTAGAGCACAGGTCCCAGAGAGCAGCTAACAAACATAAGACTTTGCACAGCAGGGTGCACAGAAGGGGGATGGTCCCTGCACTCAGTAATGGTGGTGATGTGCCACATGATGTGGTCTCCAGCAGCCACTGGAACAACCCTCCTGGTAATGTCAGAGCCTCCACTCAGACTGAGCTATTTTGGGGGAAGATATGGCTTTGCAAGTCTTTGGCTGCAGGGATTATCTAGGGCCTCCCATTCTTGCTGAGGCTACGGCAGAAGGAGATGAGCTTCTTGGCTACAGAAGGTGCAAACTAGTGGGAGAGCTGTGTTGCCAAGTTAAAGGAGCTATGGGAGAAGGTCAGGGGATGGCACAGCATCAGAAATTATGAGAAACAGATTGACTGGATATACTCCAAGATCCTGCAACCTCAAGAACTGCAACCCCCAGCTTTACGAAACGAGGTACAGTCAGAGCCTCAGCTTATCCAGATGGGAAATGGAGACTCCCATGATGACAAAGGCTGGAAGCACCAGGACAGCAGCTCCCGCTCTGCCTGCAGAAGTACAGGACAATGATAGATTTGGTTCAGTGCCCTCATAGCAGATATGGGGCTGGGAGCTGTACCCAGTGAAATGTCTGAACTGGCTAAGTCTGAGCCATGCAGTAGCACCACATATTAGTAGCAAGTGGCTCCCTGCCTGCAGGGGGTGGAGGCCCCCATCTGCTAGGGACAGGTGACCTATGAGAAAGCTAAAGGCACTATGTGGGTGGGAATGGGGTTAGGAAAGCCAAAGCTCACCTTAAACTGAATCTGGTGAGGGACATGAAGGGCAACAAGAAGGGCTTCTACCAGTATACCAGCAGCAAAAGGAAAACTAGGAAAAATACATCCTCCCAGCTGAATGAGGCAGGGGAGCAAGCGACAAAGGACACAGAAAAAGCCCAGGCACTCAGTGCCTTCTTTGCCTCATACTTTAATGAGAAGACTTGCCTTCAGCAATGCCAGCTCCCTGAGACCAGCGGGACAGTCTGGAGCAAAGGCAGACTTGCTCTCCGTGGAGGAGCACTGAGTTACCATTTAAACAAACTGGACACACACAAGTCCATGCAAGCCAGAGGGATGCACTCACGAGTGCCGAGGGAGCTGGCTGAGGTGACTGCAAGACTACTCTCAACCTCTGAAGGGTTGTGGCAATAGCAGAAGGTTCCTGAGGACTGGAGTGACATTTGCTTTCTTCTAATCTTCAAGAAGGGCAAGAAGGACCTAGGGAATTACAGGATGGTCAGCCTCACCTCAATCCCTGGGAACACAATGGAGCAAGTAATTCTAGAAATCATCTCTAAACATATTAAGAAGGTGGTGATGGGGAATAGTCAGAATGGATTTATCAAGGGGAAATCTGGACCTCTGTAAGGCCTTTGACACAGTCCCCCACAACATCCTTCTCTCTAAACTGGAGAGGTATGGATTTGATGGGGTGCCTGTCCGGTGGGTAAGGAATTGGTTAGATGGTCGCATCCAGAGGGTAGTGGTCAACGGCTC